CGCACTAATTAATTCTGTGGCATCAGCTGTTGGATTTAATGCTTGTAATTCAGCAACCTATTAAAATTTAATCAATATGAATAAATGACATTTATTTTTCGACTTATTTACTTTTTGTTGAGCATGACAAAACATATGATAAACATGATGTTTAAGTTGATGAGCGGTTTGAGCTAAGGCAGCAATAGTTTCACATACAAATATTTCCTAGAATTAAATATAATCAACATATATCTCAATAGTAAATCTAATGTCATCTTTCAAATGATCTGAGAGGGAAATTCATTCATTTTTATAGAAGTATCTGTTGGAACTTGATTGTATTTATGAATTCTATGTATAGATCTCAACATCTCTTCGAAATACTAACAAGGGAACATATCTGAGTGTACCCACGGAGATGGAGTTTAAAAGTATTTTATCGTGTAGCGACCATGTTAAATATCTCAAATATCGACAATTTAGCTGCTCATTCTGAGATCGAAAAAATGGCACTATTTCACATTTTTGCTATATGTTATATCCTATTGTCTGATATCCCGTTTTAACGAGTTCTTTTTCCAAAAACTATAGAGAACATAGTTTCTCCGGCGAAAAAACTGCATAAATGGAGACTTTTATTCGTTTTATGTGCCCATTTTCCTGAAAAAACTATTTTTTCGACCTCAGAATGGGCAGCTAAATTGTCGATATTTGAGATATTTAACATAGTCACTATACGATAAAATACTTTTAAACTCCATCTCCGTGGGTACACTCAAATATGTTCCCTTGTAAGCGTTTATGTTAACTAGTAGTTCAAATCTTAACAGTTCTGATGCAGTTAGAGACTTTTCTATAGTATTACATTATATTCTTTATGTTACGACTCTGTGTTCCTGAGAATTTTGAATGAACTTCGAGTTAATATTACTTTATTGAAAGAAATCATTGAGATGTTTTGAACAACTATAATCGATATCATAGAGTATTATTAAAGTTGTATCTAATAAATCATTATGCTATGCTTTCTTCTATAGTTTTATAAATAAAATTTTTTATTTAATTAATTACCAATATTTGTAATGGAGTTTCGCTTGCTTTTAATGTATCTCCATCATATTGATTTCCATGAAAACGTAATGTATGTGAAACTGATTGAGATTTATCTTCTGTAACCTAAAATAAAGTTTAGATTTTTGATGAATTTGGAAATATTAATATAATTTACTTGACAATGTAAATGTCTTTGTGGTTGATTAATAATATCAAGCAATGGATATTTTGCAACTGCACACTATTTGAATAAAAGATTTTGTATAAGTACAAAATTTGAAATTTATATACCGGAAAAGTTTCTATCGTACGTCTTGATTGAATAACATAATTATAACGTTGATCAAGCATTTCATCAATCAATCGAATATATGAAGCATAATCGTCTACAAGAAGAAAAAACCAAAAACATTATTTTTCTAAAAATTGATAAATTATACCAGTATTTGCTTTAATTCTTGGTAATACATCAGCATCATAAACATGATTAACAAGTACTTGAGCATAAACATCATGTTGAATACGTACTGAACTCATATGACCATGAATTCTTGAAAAACAAAATCAGATTATTTTTTTCTAATAATATAAAAATATGGTTATTATACTTAAGTTTAATTGGATGGGATTCATTAACAATACGAACTACTTCTTGATTATTATGTAAACCTTTTAAGTCACATTTAAGAGGAACATAATCTTCATAGACATTCGTATAAAACATTCCCTAGAAGAAATATAGATATATAATCGAATGGAATTTACTATTTACATGTGTAACGTATTCTTACTTCATCTGTAGCTTCCCAAGCAATTTCTGAATCAGCAAGTACTGTATCATATTTAAGTAGCAATGTTTTGGTATGTACTTTCCATATAGGAAAATGAAGTAGATTGAGAAAATGTCCTTTATAAAGTAAAAATTGTCCAATTTCAAATGGAATTTCTGGACCCATTTCTGTTACTAAAAAAAAAGAGAACAAACGTTATTTTATATTGAAAATTTTTGTTTTGATTTAATTTAACCTTCTTCAGTAAATTGCTGTGTACCAGCAGTAGTGGTCACTGGTTGATTATCGGCTGTTGAATCATTTGTAGCTTCTTGCCGTTTATTATCACTAGATGTTTCTTGTTGATTTCGTTCACTAATTGCTTGTTGTTGTAGTGCAGCATTTGCTATTTGTAATTGTTCATTTTTAAGATCATATAAAGCAGCAGCTGCTAGAGATGGACGATCAATATTCATATATGATGATGAACTAAACAAAGCAGTTATTCATGAATTTATTCAAAAGAATATAATCTACTTTGCAGTATTTGGCGAATAAATTCCTTCATTAGTTGTATTCATATCTTTAAAAAAATAAATTTAATATCAAGACAAAGATAATAATTTCGTTTCTTACTGGAATTTGTTGTACCAAAATTTGTTTTTGATATTGCAACAGCTAAAAGTGCATCAGCTGTTTCCTGAAGAATAGCAAATAAAAATTAAATCTCAATTGAAATATATGTATATCTTTCTTACTTTTTCACTTTGTACTCGATTAGGATCAGTTGTAGCAAGTAATTCATTCGAAAGATAATTTGTTGAATTTTGATTTGTTTGTTGCTGTTGTCCTTGTACCATTTCATTTAATTGACTAAGTATTGCAGCTGCATTTGCTGTCGCTGATTCAATACCTTCCGCACTATTTAATGGCTGTGTTACTGTAAGTGTTCCAGCACCTAATTGATCAATAATATGCTGTGGTAATGTCATTGTTGTCTAAAATATATTGAAATTTTATATACAAAAATTCCCAATAAAAAACTAATTCTTACAACATTATTAAGAATATCTGATTGTGTATTACGAAATACACCATTGATTGTATTTATATTTTGTTGTTGAGAATTTGGTGTTAAGGTTATTGTTTGAGGTAGAAAAGTTGTTGTTTGATGATTCATTGTTGTTGGAAGATTTTTTAATAATGGATTTATTTTAACTCCTTTACTATCATCATATAATGGTCGACCAATGACCATAATTTCTTCAATACGTGATTCATCATTAACCATATAAGTTTGATAACCCATACTACCTGTTGGTGGTCCGAGAGAACTTAAAACAATTCCAGCATTAACTGCACCAATATAAACATTATCTTTTGGTTTACGTAAAATAGATTCACTAGCTAAAGCTTCTAATGATGGCATTTTGTCTCCAGCAAGAAATTTTAAAAACGCATTTTGAAATGAATTCTCTTTTGGATCATAACGAATTTCGACTGTAAAATATTTAAGATTAAAATTCGAAATTATAAATAAGAAAGTTTTTTTACTTGGTTTTCTCTTTGGTGGTGGAGCTGTGACACGTTGGACAGATTCTTCAACATTTTGTACATGAAAAGCATTGGCATTGACCTAAAATATAGATATTATGGTATTTAGGAAAGAAAAGGTATTCAACACAAATAGACTCTGAGATATGTTGTTTTCATCATACTTTGCTTTGAAATGATTGTTTATGCTGCACAATTGATGGATTCATTGTTGAAGGAGCGATTGGTTTTGGTGTTGGTTTCGGTTGAATAGGTACAGGTGTTGATACAGCAGATGGAACATGAGTTGTTTGTATGGTAGGCATTGACGCAATTTGTAATATTTGTTGTTGTAAACCAGCAGGTACTTGAGCAACTTGCTGTTCAGCATAATGTGAAAATAAAGAACCTGAAAATGATAAGAATTTTTCAAATTTCATTTATTTGAAATTAATCAGTTCAAATCAGTTGAATAGTAGTAATGTGTAATAGTTTTTATTCATATAAAATTTCATCTATCCGTTCTTATTATTTTCATCATCATTTTTGAACTGATATATAGTTTTTAAAAAAGAAAGAACATACCATCTTGTAAAAGTGCATTTATATCTTGATCTTTATCAATAATAACATCTATAAAATAAATATAGAATTTGTGTTTTTACACAAAATTTTGATAAGCAATAAAATCGTTTACTTACATTGATCTTGTCCTTGGTCATCTGTAATAATTAATATTTGTTGATTTTCAGTTATATGATTCTGTAATTGATTAATTAATTCAGCTTGGCTTGTTGCTGTTGTTGTATCTTGTATTATAACTAAATCATTATTTCCAACATTATTTGTTGGTAAAACATTACCAGGTAGTACTTGTGTAGTACCGACCGTTGTTAGCGGAACGATATTACCATACATTGTAAAAAAAAACGAACAAAGAATTAGGAAAAAACGAATCTAAAAAAATTTTATTGAACGAATATTTTCGTGTTACAAACGAATTGTTTGCTTTTTTTTCATTTGACATAAAGAACAAATCGAATGTTGAATTAGCGAAAAATTTTAACCAATCATATACAGAGAAAAACTAACGAGTGAGGGCGCAGTATGTTGATATTATACATGAAGTGTGTTTTAAAAAACAGAGCATGGAAAATACCGAAGACTGAAGTTATACCGGCGGGTGAGTGTGGGTGGGCGCCATCCACCCAAAAATTCGGCCTGTCCATCCGAGAAAAATACAGCAGTTGTATATTTTGAGATGGCCCGAGTGGGCGCTGGATAAACGCCGCCCACCCTAAAATTCGATTCGCCCGTCCGAAAAACGAAATCCAGATAAACGCTGAGTTATACTTAACCTGTGAGAATAGTCTATCTGAGGAGGAACTATTAGATGGATTAGCGGAAGTTCATCAATGGATCTTCTATCAGTATATTCAGTGAATCATTGGTAATAATTGTGGAAATTCTTCTGAGATCTTTCTTATTCTAAAATATAGTAAATATTTTCGATTGTTTTTTATTTTAAATAAAAATAATTTACTGGCCTATTTAAAATGGCTAACAGAAAAAAAAGGATAATATATATTACGATGAAAAGAAACATTCTTTTAAAATATACTATAGCGAGAATAAATATAATAAAAAAAGATGGAAAGAAAATTATTTCTTTTTAGCATCGTCAACAAGTTTTTTTGCTTCTTCACCTTTTTTCTTTAATAAATCTTGTGCTTGTTTAATACTTTGTTTTGATACACCATTTTCTGTGAATATTTTTGCTAATTCAGTTCCAGTTTCTTTAAGAAGTTTTTGTGCTTCAGGTTTTTTATCTTTAGCTTTTTCAATAACTTCTTTTAAGTTTTTATATTGATCAGCAACTTTATCACGTAATTCAGGATTTTCCGAAATTATTTTATTGAATGCTTCACTACCAGCATCACCAGCTAATTCTTGAATTTGTTTAACACGTTTTTGAAGAATATCTACAGCTTTACCTGCTGTTTTAGGATCTAAACTACCTTCTTTTGCTAATTTTTCAAAATCACCATAAGTTTCTTCAAATACTTTCTTAACTTCATCACCATGTTCTTTGGTAATATGTTCAACTTGATCAAAGATTT